TTTTTTTTTTTTTTTTTTTCATTTTTAGAAACATTCATTCGATTACCACGACACATACGATCTTTCTTTTCGCAATTCGTTAAATGAAAAATTCAAGGAATTACCGAATTTATTCGCGCAGAAGGCGAAAGAAGTACTAAAACTCGTCACAATTTTAATACCAAATGAGCGACAAGGAGAAACGAAGAATTACCGCCGAAGGATCGAATCATCTGGATGACAGTCATTTCTCGAATAATAACCAAATCGACTGAAGCTTCGTACCGACAACACGTCGGCAAACCCATCGGTAAACAGCGTTGGAGCAAGCATTTCGACAATTGAATTATAATTTATAATGAGCGCAGTTCTCTCTCCCCGACTAGCAAAATGTCCCCCGTTGGTTAACACGTTCCGTGGCAAGCGATTTTTGCCTTTTGTTGTCGTTCAGGCCATTTGTATTACATCATCAATCGATAAGTAGTTCTCTTGTTTAGAGTAGCTATCACATCGTTAAATCATCATCAATCGATAAGAGTTCTCTTGTTTAGAGTAGCTATCACATCGTGGTAATATTATTAGAAATATCTTTTACAGAATTACATTTGTCATAAAATATATGTTTTCAACGCATTAAATAAATATGACTGCGTGGTACACATGGCACGGAACATGTTAATACCGATTCGTTATTAACGAATACGCGACTCGAGCGGTGTTTTTATATCGATTTCGCGAAAGTGAAACACGGTTACCGTTGTAAGTAGAATGTAGGTGTTTGCCAGGTTTCTGGCACACCGATCGATAAGTATACTTTTTACATTTTCACGTGCGATCTTCCGCGAAATAATATACCCGTGGGCAAACTTCATTCGTATTCATCGTGTTGACCAACCACGCCGCCATTATTCTCGCCGTTGCAAGCAATCACCGTAATCGTTGAAATACGTGCTCTCGATATTCATTTAGGCTCAAATTACACTGTGTTTGTTGCACAATATAAGAACAGTATTACTGCTATATCATTCTCGATAAATGCGTCATGGACTGTCCATCTCTTATTTCATATCTCAATTACGGACGCATGAGAATGGAATGAAAGTATCAATTATATAAAATGAGAAACATAATACTTAATCCTCGACTAGTGACTCGTTAGCATACACGATTTAGGATTAGATCGTCAATCTTCGAATTTTTACTCGATAAT